TATGATGTTTGTAGTTAATAGATTTGGCTGCTTTTAGCCTTACCCTGGAGTTGGTTCATCCTCCGCCTATGGTAGCACACATTGGTCAGCTGCACATAACGTCACAGACATGCAGAGAGCCGCAGAAGTGAAGCCCTCCCTCCCTTTCCAGTTGTGTTTGTCTTGGTGTGGAGGTGAGTGGTGATGAACAACAGACTAAGCTACTTGTGCCTCGAATTTACATCTAATTATCCTATCCATGACTCATGAGAGCTACCATGTAAGTTAGCTAAAGTTTAGCTAGAGCAATAGGAAGTCTAATAGGTTAGACCAGTGCACGTTCTTTCACTGCATGATTCAGTTTATTAAAATGCATTTAGAATGATCACAGAATTCAAGATATGGGGGCAGAACTGTATATATTTATATAATTTCATAGTTAATCAGTATCACGCGAGGACTGACGTTTTTTCTTTTTGCTGCGGCGCCCGGGGAGCAGTTGGGGGTTCGGTGCCTTGCTCAAGGGCACCTCAGTCGGGGTATTGAAGGTGGAAGAGAGCGCTGTACATTCACCCCCCCCACCTACAATCCCTGCGGGTACGAGACTCGAACCCGCAACCTTTGGGTTACGAGTCCGACTCTCTAACCATTAGGCCACGACTCCAACCATTAGGCCATGACTTTATATAAAAAATGTATATATTTATATAATTTCATATAGTTAATCAGTGTCACGCGAAGACTGACGTTTTTTCTTCCAAAAAAACAGCATGATTACAAATGTGGTATTGATTTTATACAGCAGTTCAATAAACTAGAATTTAATATTAAGACACTTACGTTTTAGACACACTTATTAACAGTGATTTGCTGCCACCTGCTGGCGGTTTTCATTTCACATTTAAAGTATCTTTTCTTTTTTTTTTTTTATAATTTCAAATATCAGTATTTAACGTTTTATGTTTAAAATATCAAAACAGTATTAATGCATTTGTAAATGCAGGTTAAATACATTCATGTCCTGCATTAAGCAGATGAACAAATTCCACTTCAGATGCAGCTTCTGTGTTTCCTCTGCATTGCAAAGATGAATTTTGTCAATACTGATTTCATTTGCTTGGTAACAGCCCAAATGACTTATTATTCTAATTGACTGATTCAATTTAAGAATTTGACTGAAAAGATGATGCACACTTTTAGAAAAAAA